TGGCATCATAGAGACATTTCGTGGATTTGGGTCCCTATATAGTAGAAAGGGGTCGTGCATAGTAATCCCACCATCGCAAGAGCAGTAACCCGCCTCCCTCAGCTTTGCCTAAAATTTTTTTTTAAGAACGGGGCGATTCGGGTATGCTTATGTGAAGAGTCTTGTTCTACAACGAGCCCTGATGCTTTGAATGACCAGCATCGTTCCGTTCAGGTGGCAACTGGTAGGGGAGGGGGGAGCTCGAGAGCAACTGTAGGAATTGGAAGCAATGCATATTTAGATTAACCAAGGGACACCAGACACTGGGGGCGGTAGGGGGCTTTTTCCTGGATGGGAATGGGCTGGGGGTGGGGGGGTGGGGTCAATTGGGGGAAAAAGGAGACATATGTAAAACTTTAGACAATTAAAAAATGATAATAATAAAAATAAAACGTGTCATGTTACTGTTTTGCAGGGAGTCCCCAAGTCATCCTTCCTGACCGAGGAGAAGAGAGCCAGGCTGAAGACCAACCCTGTGAAGGTACACTTCGCTGAGGAAGTGCTCGTCAGCGCACACAGCCAGGTGCGTCCTGGGCAGGGCATTGAAGTGACTCTGTGTGAGGCTGGTGAGCTGCCCTCTTGCACACAGCAGCCTAAGACTGTGGAATCCCACAGCACGGAGAGGATGCAGAGGGCGTGCAGTGGGTTTGCTAGAGGCTCTGTGCACCCCCAGTAGCACTCATGGGGAGAGTTCTCTCTGGGGGCTCTGGGAGGGGACCAGGGAGAAAAGCACTGGGTGTGGCTCTCGGTTATTCCATGGCACCATTCTCCTGCTCATGAAATTCAACAGATCCCAGCTGTTAAGTTCTGCTTTTGAGTCTTTAAACTCAGTATTCCCTCCGAAGGTGATATACAGTGGTAGTGATCATGGTAGTAGGAATGGCTTTTTTATTTTTTAAGAGCCCATCTATTGACTCTCTATTGTGTGAACCTAAACTGTTTGTGTACATAATCCTTAGTCACCACAATACTCTGCAAGGGAGGTATTGTAACAAAAGAAGAAGCCAAGGCTTAAAGAGGTTAAGAGAATTAACCTCTGAGATCACATCGCAAAAAAAAACAACAGGAGCCCAGGTCTCTGTTACTTCCATTCTTTTGTGTTCTACCATGACATGCTGTTTAGTTCCTTTGATATGAGGGGAACCAGGGTTGCGGGTTCAGAAGACATATTAGTAAAGAGAAAATATTGGCCGCAGTTTGATGTTTTTAATGTGGACTGTTAGATAAAAGACTCATTTATTCATAATCTACACATTTCCCTCCAGTAGTCTGTAGCTTTTGCCATTCTGAATTCAGCGACCACTATTAGATTTTGAAATTTCCAGGTTAGAGCTTGTCCTTATCTTCTCGCATAGAGACCAGCAAGTGGGGAGTCCTGGCCATTTAAACAAGAGATCCAGGTGATCAGGTTCACATCTGCAGAGCCCTTATTTTCTGCATGTCCTGCTGCCTAACAGACCACACTGCGTTCGACCTGAGAGGGAAAGGTGGATTTGTTCAGGAAAGGGCCCGTGGGAGGCCCAATGCATTAATCAGAAAAGACCCGAGATCTGTCACTCAGCAATATTCGAGTCTCTGTGTGTTCACATTTATGAAAATGAGTTGAACCTCTTCATCACATTAAATTTAGATTCAACATGTGATGTTGTTTTAAAAGTAAGATTTCCTTCTCTTTTTTTTAATGTTTTTAATGATTTCAGAGAAAGGAGGTCAAGGGAGGTCAAGGGAGAGAGAGATAGAAAGAGAGAAATATTGGCCAGATATCGTTGATGGGCTGCCTCCTGTACACCTCCTGCTGGAGATCAAGCTCACAGCTGGGCTTGTACCCTGACCAGGAATCGAACTGTGACCTGGTTCATTGGTCGATGCTCAACCACCAGCCGGGCTCAACATGTGTTTTTAAGAGTAGTACACAGTGATGAGACGTAGGGGCTAGAACCCACTAACAACCCTGGTTCCAGCTTGGATCTCAGTGACTCTAGAACCTCTCGCTGGTTCTGGAAGACGATAGCCCCAAGGATGCTCTTTATTTGCACTGAACACTCAGAGGTCAGTTGTTATGAGAGCTGGCCCTGGGGCATTCTCCAAACCCAAAGGGAACATCCCCTGCCCTGCTCCACCTCGGGAATTCTGGCTGGCGTGGGGTCCCCAAACACTGACCAGGCCTCTGCCTCCTTTCCAAAAAGCCCTCCGAGAGTGGTGATTCCTTAGGAGGTCCCAAGAGTATGGGGTGATGGTTGGGATGAGGGGAGGCAGAGAGCAGCCCTCTGCCCTTTGGTGATGCTTCCCTACAGGGAATACTGCAGTGAAATGGGGGAGGGGGAGTCTCAGGGGTTTCACTCCAACCTCACCAGGAGCAGGAGCAGGAGCAGGAGCAGGAGCAGGAGCAGGAGCAGGAGCAGGTCGTACCTGCAGCAGGCAATAAACAGGAGGAACTCATCTCATTGTACCTGCTTGTCATCTGACTTGTTAAACTGCATCCCCTAAGGATGGCAACCAGCAGTGAGGTATCGGCTGATGATTCTGATGCGATGCTATCAGTATGCCCCCATCTCTCGGGTCCCACGTCTCTTGAACAAATCGAGCCTGTCTGTGTGGCATAGGCCTCGCCCATTGGAGAAATCTCCCGATGCAGGAATCACGCCGTGGCATGAGGCGGAGGCGAGGGAGGACCTGTTCTCCGCACCACGCAGAGCTGGAGGCAGGAAGGGCTAGCTTCACCCCTACCCTTGTGTTTTCCAGGGAAATTCTCTGCTGTGTATGCCCAACGTGCTCAAGCTGTACTTGGAGAATGGACAGACCAAAGCTTTCAAGTTTGAAGCAGACACCACTGTGAAGGTATTAAGAGTAAACTTGAATCTCTTCCCCGGTGAGAATTTGCTGGCTCCCCGGATCCCCCGCATCTTGCCCTGCGGCTGCCTTGGTGGTCTCACAACCACCATAGTCTGAGCACCTGCAAGAAGCCAAGCACTGTGTTATCTCATTAGTTGTACAACCACCCAGCAAGATTTCATCACCATCCTGCAGGGGAGGAAATCAGGGCTCAGAGAGGTGAAGTGACTTGCCTTCACCCTTAACCACTGGACTTCCCTGCCTCTTGCATGTGATCCCCCCCATCTGCTACCCAAAAGATAAAGCAGCTCAAAACCCAGATGAAATGTCAGGGCAGGCCCAGGCCTCTGCATATTCTGTCCTGAGTTGAAATCAGTTTCACTTACATTTAACACGTTCCCCCTACAAGATGCTCTGGGCAGAGGGTGAGGTAGAGAGTGAGGTAAAGGGTGGGCACTGTATTCCAGGAGCTTACTGCCTACTTGAGGGAGAAAGGACATTCAAGGAGCGCCCAGTAGTCGAGGGCAGGATGAAATAAGGGCTGTAAGGAGAGGGACAAAGAAGTGCTCTGTGTAGAGGTAAGAGTCCACCTGTTCCATCCGGTCAGGACAGCAGAGAAGGCTTTGGGAAGAAGGTGGACCTGAGCTGAGCTTTGAAGGGCAACTAAGAATTCAACAAGGGCAGGTGGGAATGGGCTGCTGGGGGGTAGGGCTGGAGGGGGCACATCAGTCTCAGGGAGTCACGTTAACTGATGCAGAGAGCCAGTCAGATGAGCACTGCCCCGTTTGGGGTATTACGTTCTCAGCGAGTTTAGTGGATGAGAGGCAATAAGCAAGAAACCAAATCTAGTGTGTTTGAACACTTGCCATCTGCCAGGTACTGCTCTACGTGCCCTATATGGGAAATTAATTTAATGTACACAACAACCCTATGAGATAGTGTTAACATTGTTATTATTTTACAGACCAAAAAAAGAATGAGGCATAAAGAGAGTAAGCAGTTTATCCCGGGACATACAGCTAGTAAGTGGTAGTCTAGTTGTAGAACCCATTCACTTAATTTTAATATACTGTCTCTCACTGAAGAACATAGCTTAGCCCTGGCCAGTTTTGGCTCAGTGGATAGAGCGTCGGCCTGCAGACCTAAGGGTCCCAGGTTCAATTCCGGTCAGGGGCACATGCCTGGGTTGCGGGCTCGGTCCAACGTGCAGGGGGCAGCCAATCAATGATTCCCTCTCATCATTGATGTTCCTAGCTCCCTCTCCCTTCCTCTATGAAATCAATAATAATAAAAAAAGAACATAGCTTATGTTGAAGAAAATAATATTAGTGATGAGGGAAATAAACAGAACCCTAGGACGGAAAATGGCGGGGCAATCAGATTTAGATACAGTGACCAGAAAAGGCCTCTCTGAAGAGAAAGACGCAGCCTTGTGAACAGCAATGGGGAAGTGTGCCCGGCAGCGGGAACAGCACGTGTGAATGCCTTGAGGCAGCAGAGACCTGGTGATGGCCAGGGGCCGCTGTGGCATAGCAACTCTATCGGCACAGTATGAATTATCCCATCCGATCAGCGACTCTAAATAGGCATCACTGTACTCCATTTCTCAGGAAGAAACAGGTTCAGAAGCACCTGGTTAATTTCTCACAGCTGCGGAGCAGGTGGGTGCTGGGGTTCAATCTGGTAGGCAGTTGAAGATGCAGACTCCAGAGAGAAGATGAATCCGCTGACCTTAAAGGGAGGCATCAGCCCCCAGGGGTGGCTGCAGTCTTCCAAGTAAAGCAGGAGAGGAGAGCTGTATGGGCGGCCTGAGGAGGGGGTGCAGCGCCAGGAGGGGCATGAGAAGTCTCCTGGGTGTCCTGTCAAGATTCAGCTGCCTGCGCTGGCAGTGGACCCAGTGAGCACCCGCCTTTCTCTCCCCAACTGCACCGAGGAGCAGAGAGAAGGCCAGGGGAGTCCTCCCTGTTCTGGGCCTGAGCCTGAGGGCCAGCCTGCTCCTCAGGTGACCCCCATGCCTCTCTGTGTGGCAGGACATCATCCTCACGGTGAAGGAGAAGCTGTCGATCCGATGTACGGAGTACTTTGCGCTGGTCCTAGAAGAGCAGTACAACGTCTCACGGCTGCACCTGCTGCATGAGGAGGAGCTCATCCAGCAGGTACGACCTGCTCCTGCTCCTGCTCCTGCTCCTGGTGAGGAGATCCGGGCTGGGCAGCTGTGTGCCTCAGCCAGGACATGGGGCACAGGGCTCAGCACATCGGCAGGTTTGAGGCACTTTCTTGTGCCAAGAAGGCACAGAGTCGCTCCGCCTGGAGGTAACAGGGCTAGAGTCAGGCCTGATTTTCCCATGAGGCCCCATTTTGCAGATGTGGAAACAGAGGCTTAGAGAGGTAAGGTGACGTACTCAAGGTAACACAGCCAGTCGAGCCCCATCTTCTGCTTCAGCTCAGATGAACTTCCCCTGAGCGTGCTGCCTCTGAGATGTCAGGGAAGCATTTGTTACTGTGTCTAAGACAGCCGTGGGCAAACTACGGCCCGCGGGCCGGATCCGACCCGTTTGAAATGAATAAAACTAAAAAAAAAAAGACCGTACCCTTTTATGTAATGATGTTTACTTTGAATTTATATTAGTTCACACAAATACTCCATCCATGCTTTTGTTCCGGCCCTCCGGTCCAGTTTAAGAACCCACTGTGGCCCTCGAGTCAAAAAGTTTGCCCACCCCTGGTCTAAGCCCTTTTTGTGAGACTTACCCCAGTGCTGGTCCCCGAGGGCAGGATAGAACAAACAGTCCCTCTGCACCACGCAGTCTTTTGGCCATTCAGTGATTTGCTGTACCAACTTTTTAAAGCCAACACAGGTCAGTTCAACAAATCCTTGCTGAGTGTGTCCTCTTACAAAGAGGAGTAGGATCTCCACAATTGGAAAAGGAGAAGGGGCTTTTAAGCAGGGCAACAGCATGAGCAGGACATGACCTCGTGCAACCCACTCTCAGCGTTCCTCATTGCAGATGGAGTCTGACTCTACTCACCCTCCTCTCATTGCTGGTGCTTGCACACATTTTTTTAAAAATCATTTCTGGCCCTAGCCGGTTTGGCTCAGTGGATAGAGCGTCAGCCTGCAGACTGAAGGGTCCCGGGTTCGATTCCGGTCAAGGGCATGTACCTTGGTTGTGGGCACATCCCCAGTAGGGGGTGTGCAGGAGGCAGCTGATCGATGTTTCTCTCTCACCGATGTTTCTAACTCTCTATCCCTCTCCCTTCCTCTCTGTAAAAAATCAATAAAATATATATTTTTTTAAAAATCATTTCTGTTCTATTAGCATTGGAAAAGAGGAACACATTAAATCCCTAAGATAGTTTAAGTGGGGAAAAAAGGTGCATAATATATATAATGTAGACTATTATTTGTAGGAAAGAAAGCATGAATAGGAGCATGTATGATATTTATACATAGACTGTTTCTGGAAAGGCTTATAAGAAACTGGAGATTTCTTTCCAAAAATTTCTCCTGGGAAGGGGAATAAGTTAACAGAGTCAGTGGGAAACTTTGTTCTTTTGAGCTTTTACATTTTATACTCCTGGGAAAGTCAAATTAGGAGCAAAGGCCTGCGCTGCCTTGGGAAACATTAAATTGAAATCTCTGGGAACTGTCTTTCATTGTCTTTTTTTTTTTTGTAGGTTTTTGTTGTTGTTGTTGTTGTTTAGTTTTTTTGTGTGTGGAATAATTGCAGGAACAAGGCAGCTAAGATTAATAGTATCTCCCTTCCCCATCGCAGGTGGTGGAAAAGGAAGAGTTACAAGACTACCGCTGCCTCTTCAGGGTATGTTTTGTTCCCAAGGACCCCCTGGACCTCCTGAAAGAAGACCCCGTGGCCTTTGAATACCTCTATCTGCAGGTGACTGGGTCCGCGCTTCCTAAAATAACAGTGGTCATTCTCAAAGATGAAATTAGGTGTTGTTGTTTTTTTTAATTAAATTTTTATTGTCGACACTGTTGCAGGTGTTCCCTATTTCCCGCCCCCCTGTGCCCGCCTCCATGCTGTCCCCGCCCCCCTCCCCAGGCCTTCACCACACTGTAGTTTGTGTCCATGGGCTATGCATATATGTTCATTAGCTAATCCCTTCACCTTCCTTTAACCAGTCCCCCCAGCCTCTCTCCCCTCTGACCTCTGTCAGTCTGTTCAATGTATCGATGCCTCTGGCTCTATTTTGTTCATCATTTTATTTTGTTCATTAGATTCCAAATACTAGTGAGGTCGTATGGTATTTGTCTTTCTCTGCCCGGCTTATTTTGCTTAGATGGACCTAGAGATTGGGTTATTTTGAACATGAGCTCAAGGCAATTAAGCAACTCCCTGGTGTAGATTATCTTTATCTGAAGGAGAATGGGCCCTGAATATCCCTTACAATTCCCTTTTCCATCACGGAGTTGCGATCTTCGGAGATTAGTGATGTATTAATGAAATTTAGGCTGTCCTCAGTGTAGATGCTACATTTCCTAACGCCATTTAAGATCTTTAGAGTTACAGTTTTTATTGCTAAAAGAGGCTTTAGTGCTTCAAAGCTTTATTTTACAAATGCTGAAAGGTCACGTGATTTGCCTGGGTCACCCATTTAGTGGTGAAGCCAAAAATGGCTTCCTTGGTCCCTGTAGCCTTTTGCTGCCCTTCCTCTACCTCCATAGGTGAAATTTACTATGTCATTTTTATTCTGATGAAAAGGAATCATTTGGGAGGCATCAATATTTTACAGATGAGGTAACTCACACTAGGTGGATTGATTTGCCCAAAGTCTTACAGAAATGATGGTAGCAACTAATAACAGCAATACTTTATTTTTGCGTAGTACTGTGCCCCTCATACCTGCTTTCAGAAGCATTATCTAGTTTAAACCCCACAGAAACCACCTAAGGTAGACATAACTATCCCTATTTAGCAATGGGAAGAAAAGCAATGTTCAGAGAGTCTTAGTAACTTAACCAAGGTCACACAGCCAAGCACAGGCAGAGCCAGGTCTCGAGGCCGAGCTCCTGGGCCTGCTGCCTTTTGCCTGAGAGAACTAGGAACACAGTTCCTCTGTTGCTGGTTCCCAGTTCCCCTGATCCCATCTCTTCCAGAGCTGCAGCGACGTGCTCCAGGAGCGCTTTGCTGTGGAAATGAAATGCAGCTCTGCGCTGAGACTTGCGGCCCTGCACATCCAGGAGCGGATCTACGCCTGCGCCCAGCCACAGAAGATCTCTTTGAAGTACATAGAGTGAGTGGTGGGGGCTTCTCTGACCCCTCAGCAGCTGCTGTGCTGTGTGGGTAATCCGCTGGCCCCTGGCCACAATGGCCACATTCCACAGAAAGCTGATACCTACCTAGCCTTCTGTCCCTTGTCTTTCTATCCATTTCCTCTCCACCCTCTCCCACCCAGCCGGGCTCCCCCAGATGTCAGACTCTGGCTGCTCCCTCTGGGGCAGATGCCAAGTCCAGATAGAGTGACACAGGATCCCTTTGTAAGTTCCCAGTTCCTGGGAGAATGCATAGGGCAGTCTTTTGATAACTTTAATGAAAAGCTCTGATAAGGGAAGGAATGCCTTGAAAATTAATGTGTGAACCAATTATGTTGCATTATATTCCGACTAAGGAAGTTTCAGATCCTGGGATTCCAACACCACCTAATTCTTAGCTGAAAATTTGCTCTTGGCAGTATCACCCAGGTTTGCTAACCCCCTCACCAAATCTCAGCTCTGTTGTCCTATCTGGCATCAGAGTCAAAAAAGAGTCAAATTTAAAAATTGAAACAGATCTAGGGCTCTGTCCCTGATGTACTGGGTCAAAGCTCTAGAGAGCGGGATCTGAGAATCTGTATTTTAACAAGTTTGTTGGAGGCTTTTGAGGCTGTTAGGGTAGCACCATTCTGAAGCACGACCTCAGGGATTCACTGGTGCTACGTGCTGCCCCTGAGAGTGTGTTAGACATGCGGGGTCATTATTTGTCACGTACTAGTACATTGTAGTGAAAAAAGATCAAGGTTGCCCTGACCGGTTTGGCTCAGTGGATAGAGCATCGGCCTCCGGACTGAAGGGTCCCAGGTTCAATTCCGGTCAAAGGCATGTACCTTGGTTGCGGGCACATCCCCAGTAGGGAGTGTGCAGGAGGCAGCTGATCAATGTTTCTCTCTCAAAGATGTTTCTAACTCTCTATCCCTTTCCCTTCCTCTCTGTAAAAAAGCAATAAAATATATTTTAAAAATATTATGATAAATAAAATTAAACTACAATCTGAAGAGCTTTAAAAAAAAAAAAGATCAAGGTCTCCTGCTCTGATTAACAAAATATCACACTGCACCAAGAGTAATAATCTCCCAGAAAGATCAGTGGGGTTTTCCTGAGTAGCTGGGGCTTTTGTGTATGTGTTGGGGTGAGGGGTAAGAAATATATATAAATATATTTATAAACATATATTATGTACTTACATAAAATACCCTATATAATAAGAGCCTAATATGTAAATTGGCCAAACTGCAGGATGACTGGTGGAACAACCGGTCGCTATGATGCACACTGACCACCAGGGGGCAGGCGCTCAATGCAGGAGCTGCCCTCAGCCCGAAAGCCCCAGGCCAGCCAAGGCAGGTGCCCGCAGGGCCCCCGATTGCCCCGCCGGTTGCCCTGCAGAGGGAGGCAACCAACTAGCAGCAGTTGGGGGGGGGAGGTGGGGGCAGGGCCAGCGAGGGGGCGGCATCAAGTTGGCCAAGGCAGGTGCCAGTGGGGGTCCCCCGATCGCCCCACCGGTTGCCCCACAGATCGACCCTGATCACCCGTCAGGCCTAGGGACCTTACCCGTGTACGAATTTCGTGCACCAGGCCTCTAGTAAGTATATATTAATATATAATTTATAGAAATACATAAGATATTTCTATATATTTCTATGTATTTACACACACATAAATGTACATGTGTATGTATCTCTGTTGAGAAAGAGGCTCAGCTGCAGTATCCTGAGAACGCTAAGTACCGAGTCAAATGTAACTATGCTCTTCAGCAGAGCCACCAAGTACACTGTAAAAATTAGCCTCCTCGTCTCCCATGTCTCATGCAGGAAAGACTGGGGCATAGAGAACTTCATTTCTCCAACGTTACTCCGAAACATGAAAGGCAAAGACATCAAGAAAGCCATAAGCTTCCACATGAAGAGGAACCAGAATCTGCTGGAACCCCGACAGAAGGTAATGGAGCCCTGGCCCCGGCCGACCCACCCAGCTGTCTGGGGGCTGCATCTGCAACATTGCCTTGATTGTAGCAAGTGAATGACTCTAACTTACGTCTTTTTTTCCTTCTATTTAAGCAACTTATTTCCGCTGCCCAGCTACGTTTAAATTATCTACAGATCCTTGGGGAACTCAAGACATACGGCGGGAAAATCTTTAATGCTACTTTAATGGTACGTGTTAGAGAACCGTGGAATCCCACGCTTGTGAGGGACCTTAGAAGTCCTGTGAAGATCGGTGAACTTGTGGCCTAAAATTTTTGAGAACTCTGTCAAGGACTAGAATTTGTTTGGGGAAGTAAATATTGGGGAGTGTTTCTTGTGCCCTTGCTTGGTGCTAGCCCTATGGTAGGTGCTGGGGGAGGCAGAGCTGACGTTATTTCCACCTTCCGATGATCGAACAAAGTAGCCACCAGACAAAGCAGAGCCACGAGAGACACACAGGGCGATGGCGGTAAGGAAAGGCAAGAAGGTTGGATTTGGCCAGATTTCCGTAGAGAGGAAAGGCATTTGGAGGGAAGGGTGCTGTAAGCTATTTACTGTGGAGCTTTGGGAATATGAAGGTGGAGAGGGAAAAGGGGAAACCATACAGGAAAGATAAGAATGTTAGACTGACGGCCAGGCTGGGGCCCGGATTATTCAGACAAAGGGAAGAACTGAGGAGGGAAAAGAGAAGCAAAGGAGCCTTCTGCTCTGTTACCCGGCCCTCCCCCTGCTTCCTTCTTGGAGCCGAGGCCCAGAGCTGTGTGCTTTTCAGCCGTCAGTAATGGGGCTGTGGCCTAAGGGAACTCTCCCCACCACTCAGTCAGCCCCAGAACTCTCCAGCACAAAGCCAGGGAATTTACCAATGAGAGATTTAAAAAAAAAAAAAACATTAACAAATCTTCTTTTAGTAGATTTAGTATGTCTCTCAGTCATTTAAAGTGATGGGTCCATTTAATCAGATTGCCGACTTAACAATATAGATAGAAAAAGAGAATCCATGTTTTGAGAGCAAGATAGAACAATCAGATCAAGCATGTCAAACTCGAGGCCCGCAGGCTGCATGCCTCGTTTATTTGGCCCGTGTTAGCCTTTGAGTTTGACATGCTTGAGTCAGATAGTTAGGGGAAGGGAAAAATAGATGGCGTCTTATACGAGTAGATGACCCAAAGGTAGAAGAGAGACCAGAGCACAGAAAGGAAGGCTTGAAGGTACAAGAAAAGCTTCCCACTTTTCCCAAGGGCCAACCCTGCCATCTCCCAGCTGTCCCCAGCCCCCCTTTACCGTTACTATCTAAGGAAATAATTGGTAATGGGAAAAGAAACGACATGGAGCTGGCTCAGGGTGCTTGCTGGCCACTGGGGTTACACTGTAGATAAACACAGTCTGTCGTCAGGGAACTTGGCAGGGAATCTGAGACTTGAGTACAAATAATTACAATAAGAAGTCACAGCTCAGTGTTATGGGAGACGTAGACAGGAAGTAGTGTGGGAACAGCACAGAGGAAAAGGACTATTCTGGTTTGAGGAGCCAGAGATCAGGCAGATAGTTTCTGTAGATGTTTACAGTAGGTTTTGATGGAAGCTTTTCAAGAAAGGTCAGGATTTCTGTAGGTAAGGATGGCAGGGAAGGGATTCCAAGAGGAGTGAAATAGGCACATAGGTATGAAAATACAGAGAAAGATAAATATCACATGATCTCACTCATTTGTGGACTATAATGAATAACATAAACCGATGAACAAAAACAGATTCAGAGACAGAGAAGCATCAATGAGATGCTCAAACCTCAGAGGGAAGGTAGGGGAGGGTGGGGGTAAGGGGGAGAGATCAACCAAAGGAATTCTATGCATGCCTATAAGCATAAGCGATGGACGCAGACAACAGGGGGTGAGGGTGAGGGCAAGACTGGGGGGATGAGGGGACAATGGGGGGATAAAGACACATTTGTAATACTTTAATCAATAAAAAGTTAAAAAAGAAAAAAAAATACAAGTTGCGTCGACAGAACAGGTAATAGTCTGGTTTGGCTCTCTGTTGTGAAGCGTCTTGAAGAGATCATTTGTACTTAATTTATCTGTCACTGGGGCCCAGTTCAGGCTGTTGCCTAACTTGGTGGTCCAGAGAGTGGCGGTGGGGACCTGAAATAAGAATCCGGAGTTTGCAGAGAGAGGTATCTTGTCTTACATGTGCAGTGTGTTTTACTAGCTGTGAGTGGGAACTAATTCCTCCTCTGCCCTTCTGCAGTTACAGGATAGAGAATCCTATGTTGCCCTTCTAGTGGGAGCCAAGTATGGGATTAGCCAGATTATCAATAGCAAACTCAACATCATGTCCACGTTGGCCGAGTTTGCAAACATCAGCCGTGTGGAGCTGACAGAAGAGTCTGAGAAAGTGAGCGTGGTCAAAGTGTACCTGCAGGACATCAAGGTAACACACAGGGGAGAGGTTCTGCATCCAGCTCCTGGAGTTGGGGGCTAACTCATTTTAGGGTAGTTTGTATGCGTGTGGATATTTACAGTCTAACATCCAACATTTGCTTAAGAGGATGACTTGTCCATTCTGTCCCATCAAAGGGAAAGTGGTAACCACGGTGCATTTTCCCGGGCAGGTCCTGAAAGGTTTCTTCGTATAAACTGAGCCTGACCTTGTGCTTTCCTGATGGGTTCAGAAACTTAGATGGGAGCACCAGATGGGACCAGAAAGGCTGTCCAAGAGTTTTGAGAGGCAGCAATTAAAATGGGTAAATGATGTAGTGAACTTCCTGAGCCTCCGGGGGAGGTCCTGCATTTGTCCTGCCTTTCTTTGCTTTCCTGTCAACATGATCAGAGATGGTGCTTGATTCTTACCACCCTCTCTCTCCTCTGTTTGCTTTTGCTTCTTTTCCTTTTCTAGGTCAGGTCTTGAAGGGGCCCCATTACATGAATGAGCAGAGTGGGGTGGGTGGTTTGGATGGGAGGCGAGGATAGGGGTCAGAGATGGAGAGGCAGGAGATATTGTGGAGTTTCGATGGGAGGAACCCACACATGCATTTGCTCATTTCAAGTCTTAAAGGTGAGAATACAGGACGTGAAGCCTGCCTGGGGACCAGGGCTGGGTTTGCTTGGAATTTCTCATCAGCCCCATAGGGTCTTGTTGTCAGGCTTTGGACTGTCCCTTCGCCCTTCACAGGCTTAAGAGCTCTCTTTGCCTTCGAAGGTTCTGACGTTGCTCCTGGAATCCAACAGTGCAAAAGACCTGGCCTGCCTGGTCGCTGGGTACTACAGGCTGTTTGTCGACCCGGTTACCTCCATCTTCCTCTGGCCGGGGAACAAACAGCAGGTGCACCGAGTGTCTGCTGAGGAAGGTGAGGCACTGAGGCTTGCCCCGGTGAGGATGGGCCCGTTTCACTGCCCTGTGGGTAAGGGCAGCCTAAAGGGAGGTGGAGAATTGAGTTGAGCTGACACTTCTACTCAAGTTGATGTGAGCTATTTCTCCATTTATTTCTTTGTAAACAGTTGATCTTTCTTTTTTTAAAAAAAATTATTGATTTCAGAGAGGAAGGGAGATGAAGAGAAAGAAACATCAATGGTGAGAGAGAAGCATTGATTGGCTGCCTCCTGCACACCCCACACTGGGGATGGAGCCCGCAACCCAGGCATGTGCCCTTGGCCGGAATCGAACCTGGGACCCTTCAGTCCGCAGGCCGATGCTCTATCCACTGAGCCAAGCCGGCTAGGGCTGTTTTGGATTTTAAATATGATTCCCATCTGACTTTGATCCCAGACAGGACAGAGCTGAGATTGGGGGAGGAAACCTGTGCAATACTGCCCAAGCCAAGTGAAATCCAATCAAAGAAACAGCCCCCAAGTGTCTGGGAACAGATAGCTCTCCTTGGAAGAGGGGGTGGAGGTAGTCCTGTCTCTTTCAGGGGGTTCCCATGGATGTGGGAAAGGAGGCCTGATGTTGTGTGTCCCACGGACCCTGTGCCAGTCACTATAGCGGGATCTGGGCCAGTCACCCGCCTGGACCTCAGCTTTCTAATCTGGAACCTGGAGGGCCAGCAGCAGTGGGGGTTGGGGGGCACCTGCCAGTCCCCGGGGGCTGTTTTGTGACCCTCCGCGTCCCCTGTGTTGCAGGCTACGAGTCCAGGGCGTGCAGTGACTCAGAGGAGTCCTCCGAAGTGGACTGCGTGCTGGAGCCCCTCTCTGACCAACACCTGCCAAGGCCGGGCCCCTGCAGATCGCCCGCAAAAGAGGAGCAGCCCCCCGGGGACAGCCCCACGCCTGAGGTGGCCGGGAGAGGCCCGAGCGCCTGCGGGGCCAGCAGCGTGACCGACAGTGCCGAGTCCGAGGCGTCCGACTCGGCCAACACCGAGAGCCGAGGCTGCAGGACCAGCGGCTCGAGCGAGTCCATGGATGCCCTGGAGGAGGATGACTTGGACGCCTGCTCCTCCAGCAGGTCCGGCTTCTTCCACTTCGGCTTCCCGGAGAGAGGCGAATCTGACAGCCAGGAGGAGAGGAGCAGGATAGAGACCAGCGGCTTCCTCTGTCTCCTGGACCTGGCCCAGCGAGCCAGCCCTCAGCCCCAGAAGACGGAGCTCTCTGAGAGCCCCGCTCCTGGGACCTTCGGCTGGGCACCAGACCCCAGTGCAGCCCGGCTGGACCCCGGGCTGTACGAGGGCAGCCAGACTGACTACTACAGCCTGTGCTCCAGCGTCTCCCCGGCCAGGCACCTGAGTGACAGCTCAGACAGCACAGCTTCCCGGCAGGGTGGGGGCCCGCCAGCCTGGGGCCAGCAGGGCTGGTCTGAGGCCCAGCCCAGCTCCACGCTGGAGGCCCTGGGCCCTGCCTGCGAGGAGGGCAGCTCGGATGAGGAATACTACGATGCAGCTGACAAGCTCACACCCCCAGACACCCTCTCAGGTGAGCCCCACCACCACCACCACCCCCAGGTCTGCAGACTCACAGGCAGGGACCAAGCTTGAGGGGGAAACACATGAGTAAAGCCGGGTCATGGTCCTCTTCTGAGGAGGCTGCCCTGGGGTCTGTGGACTAAATTACAAGTATCATGACTTCGCCCGGCTGGTGTGGCTCAGTGGTTGAGGGTTGGGTCAATCTATGAACAAGGAGGTCACAGCTCGATTCCCAGCCAGGGCAAATGCCTGGTTTGTGGGCTCAGTTGCCAGTAGGGGGTGTGCAAGAGGCAGCCAATCAATGATTCTCTCTCGTCATTGATGTTTCTATCTCTCTCTCTCCCTCTCCATTCCTCTCTGAAATCAATAAAAATATATTTTTTAAAAGGAATCATGACTTCAAGTCAGAGCTACAAGGAAGGTTCAGAGAACTGTGGGCAAGCAGCGATGGGCAAGGATAGAGGCATTCACAGTGGGAATCCGGGAAGGCTTCCCAGAGGAGGTGGGAGAGTGCTGAGACTGGTGAGATAGACAGAATTTACATAGAAAGCAACGGGTTTGACAGGGGTGCCCAGCAGAAGGTAGCAGATGTGTCATTACCGACCCTGAAGCTACATTCAATGAGGCCTTGAAGCAAGAAGAACCCGCCTGACAGGCTATGGTGGCCCCTTAAGGGACCCTGACGTAGGAAGGCAGGGGAGGCCTGTTGGCCTGTTTCTCTCAGGTTCCTCTTGCCTTCCTCCCTGTACAGTGGGCGAGTCCTTCCATACAAGTGACTTCCCAGCTGACCTGAGAGCCTTCCAGGACATTTACACACACAGATATTGAAGGTGACCCACTAGGACAGTGGTTCTCAACCTTCTGGCCCTTTAAATACAGTTCCTCATGTTGTGGCCCAACCATAAAGTTATTTTCGTTGCTACTTCATAACTGTAATGTTGCTACTGTTATGAATCTTAATGTAAATATCTGATATGCAGGATGGTCTTAGGCGACCCCTGCGAAAAGGTCGTTCGACCGCCAAAGGGGTCTCGACCCACAGGTTGAGAACCAGTGCACTAGGAGCTGGGGACGCCACCGCCCTTGCAGTTCTGCTTCCGCCCTTTCCAGGTGCTGCCTGCCTGCAGTGGTTGCCCTTTGCTCGTGGAGAAAGGCCAGCTCCTTAGGTTGAGGCCCTGTGTGACACGGCCTCTGTCTGCCTCTCTGCTCCTGAGCCCTCTCCCTGCTTCCTGCCACACAGACCTCCTGGCCATTCTTTAAAAGGGCCAGGCTTGCCATGGCCGGTTTGGCTCAGTGGATAGAGCGTCAGCCTGTGAACTGAAAGGTCCCAGGTTTGATTCCGGTCAAGGGCACATGCCCAGGTTGTGGACTTGATCCCCAGTGGGGGACTTGCAGGAGGCAGCCGATCCATGATTCTCTCTCATCATGGATGTTTCTATCTCTCTCTCCCTCTTCCTTCCTCTCTGAAATCAATAAAAATATATTTAAAAAAATAAAATAAAAGGGCCAGGCTCTTTCCCACCCCTGGCCTTTGTGCATGCTGCTCCTCACCCTGATCTTGTTGCTGATGCCCATTTATCTGTCAGCACCCCGACCCCCACCACCACCACCTCTAAAAATTCACTTTTTCTAGAAACTTAAACCAGACCACCAAGAGTAGGACGGGTCTCCCCAGGCCTGTCACACCTTCCTGCAGCACCTGTTAGCACTGCCTGTAATTATGTGTTTATGTGTGTGATCTGGTGCTGATGTTTCTCTCCCTCACTACACTGGAAACTCACTACACTGTGTCCCAGCACATAGTGCCTGGCAGTTGTTGCTGAGTGAATGGATGAGCTCTCCACCATCTACGCTGAGTTCATTGACTGTGCCCCTGGGGAAAGGAGAGACCATGGCCAGCTTGTGCACTGCCCTCCAACTGCGTCCATGCCCCAGCCTTGCCCTGTTGGGCTGGGCATTGTGCTGGGGGCACGATGGGGGCAAGACAGGCCATCAGTCCAGGCCTTCCTCTAGCCCAGGACATAGGACCATACCGGACATTGCCTATTGGATAGAGAGCCAGTGTGGACCTGGGCAGACAGCCCAGAACTGGGACTCCTGGCCCAACTCCCTGAGGGAGCCTCTCCCTTCTCGGCCTCAGAAACAGTGTTGGTCGGTGGCGGTAGGTGGCCTAGGCAGCAGCTCCAAAATGTGACTGGGCCTCAAAATCACCCAGGGGACCTCGATTCAAGCCCGTCGATTCCTGGGTCCCAGCCTCAGAGATTCTGACGTAAGAGGTCTGAGAAGCAGCCCCCCATCAGGTGTTTAATAAGGGGCAGCCCGTTAGGAACAACGGTCTGAGTGTGAGAGCCCTCTGAGTCTCAGGTGCCGGCCTGGGACCCCATCCTCTGGCTGACTCCCAGGGCTTCTTCACAGGGTGCCTCTCGGCTCAGGGAGATCCATCCCGCACGCACACGACCCCTCCCCATGTCTGAGAGTCACGCCACGTGGTCAAAAGCAGGCTCCTCAGAACCTCACAGATGTAGTGACAGGAACAACCACGGTAGCAGCTCCCTCCGGTGAACACGGTAGGCACAAGGCCTTGTGCCGGGTGCCAGAGACGCACTCATCCATTTAACCTGCATGGCCGTGCGGCTTGGTCCCTTGGTGCTGACTGACTCGGGTTAACACAGCACAAAGGAAAAGTGGGAAAGGATGTAAGAAAGCTTAGAAAATTGCTAGCAAAGGAAGACCTGCTTCCGACACAGGCAGCAACCAGACCAGGAGGCTGGGTAGCAGGATTCCTTGTCGTGTCGTCAGGAAAATGTGGCTATAAAGAATGACCTCTACTTTTATTATTATTATTTTTTAAATCGGTGTTTGAACTTGAAGTTCTAGGAAAGGTATGGCTGACTTCCTGGGTCATAAATCTGACCACTTGGCTGATGGGGACGGGGCGCCTTCACTGATAGTTCCAGCAACTGTAACCATTGTTGGGGGGAGGGGGAGATGTCAGTCCCTAAAAGACAAATGAAGGACAATGAAACGGATCTTGGGCAACTAAGAATCAAAAACTGTCTGCCACAGTTACTATCCCCAACTTTCAGAGGAGGAAATTGAGGAGACCAAGGTTTAACTTGCCCAAAGTTACGCAGCCCGGCCATGGTTTGAACTCAGGCAGTCCTGAGTCCTGAGCCCAAGCTCTGAGGGCCGCTTTGTTTTCCTGCTTCTTATGTACTTTTTCCTTTCTTGATTCTCAGGGCCCGGAGCTATTTCTGCTGCAGAACCCAGTGCCACACGCACACAGAGTGAGGCTAGCTCCTGCAGCCCCGAGGACGGCCTGAGAACTGGACCGGACGGAAGAGAGGCACGCAGAAGGGGAGGGGTGAAAAAGTATGCCAAGACCCTGAGAAAAAGAAGGTCTTTCCTACAGACCGACTACACCTGTCAGGTCTCGTTTCCCCTGGTGCCGTCAGCCTCCCTGGAGAACATGGACGACGTGTGCTACTACGACAGGGAGCCCTACCTGGCCCTTGGTGCGCCCTCCCCAACTGTGTCCTCTCTGCAGGACGTGCAAGGCGAGCCCGGCCTCCTGGAGACCAAGGCCCTGGGGCTGCTGGCTCCCTTGAGGGAGGCCAAGAGCAAAAACCCAGCCGCCCGGGTCATGGAGATGGAGCCGGAGACCATGGAAACCAAATCGGTCATCGACTCTCGAGTGTCTTCTATTTCCGCCATTCGCCTCCGGATTGACCCCGGTCCTAAAGAGAATTCTGGGGGTGCCCCTGTGCCTGCCACTGTTGCCAGTTGCCCAGCAAGCACCCCTAACTGTCCCAACCCAGGTTCATCTGGCCCAGACACTGCTCAGACAGAGTCTTCCCAAACTTTATCTGCATTTCAAGACTCGGATGGCAGTGCCCCTGAAGAACTCTCCATGGAGCTTGAGGGCAGCACCTCCCCCCTCTCCAGTGCTGAGCCGAACACAGGCAGCGTCTGCCTGGCCATCAGCCAGGGGCCACCTACTGTCTCTCCAGGAGACACACTAGAGCTGGGAGGAGTCCTGTTGGAAGCAGGATTGGGATCCCTGTTTACAAATCCTACGCAAGAGACTGCCCCCCAAAACACCGAGCCCTTGTTGCCTCTTGGAGACAGGCCTGGAAGTGGTGAATGTGGAATAAATTCAGGAGAGAAGGCAGCTCCTTTCCCAATAAAGGAAGAGCAACAAGGACAACTATCTCTGGACCGTGATGGAGGAGTTACAAACAAAAATGTCACCAACTTATGTCATGATGAACCTGGCAAGGACCCAGGTGACCCTGAGGGTGATGTGTCAAGTGCTGTTCCGCAGACGACTGGTGTCGGTGCTCCAGATGGCGGGATAGCAGCCTCCCCCTCCTTGGAGACTCCTGTAACAGGGACGGACCCGACCCCAGCACACTCCCCCGCCGAACGCCAAGGGCAACGCAGAGAAACCCCAAGCCATGCCTGCCAGGCCCCAGATCAAAAACTATTGGCAGAGCTGGATTTAGACCCGGATTTCCTGCCTGAGAACCAGACCATTCCATCAGCCTCCCCTCTGGAGGAGGGCAAAGCAGAGCCGCTTAACCATGTGACAGGGGAAGACACGGGCCCTAGAGACACCCCTCAGCAGGTCTGTTTTACTCCCAGGCCTTCTCCGCTACACCCACTCCCATGTCCCCAAGGGGAGCCCCACTCAGAAGGTTCAACCCAATGTTCACTGTCAGAAAGCAGAGACAAAACCCCTAGCATCTGCCTCCCAGCTGAGAAGTCTTTCTTGTGCTTTTCCCCAGAAAGCCATCCTAAAGTCTCTGCCAGTCTCAGGATGGCCACATCTCTGGGGTTTGCGGGGGTGAATGAGACAGTGGCCCCCGGGATTGGAATGGAGCAGTGCAGCTGCCAGCTCTCCTATGCCACCTGCTTCCGTGGCCTGCAGCCTGAGACAGAGGAAGAAGACAGGGACTCGGAAGCACCCCCCACCGCCCCCCTCACCTCACCGCCCTCTGCAGGAAGCGGGCTGGCCCTGCCCTGGAGGCCGGCCCGGGCCCACAGCTGCAGCGCGGAGCCCCTGTTGAGAAACAGCCACATCTGGCCGGAGTACTGCTCCAGGGCTCTGACGCGGTTGAAAGCTGCCCCCGCCAGCACTCCCGAGGGCTTCATCCGACTCTCGGAGAGCTTGCTGGAATTACAAGACATTTTAGAAGCTTCCTGGGGGAATGGGGACAAGCACCCCCCAGAGAAGTGCACCTGGCACTTTTCTGAAAGCCGGAGCCACCTCTGCATGGGCTCCCAGAAGCTCCTGTCCAGCTGTCAGCACGTGATCAGAATGGACCAGTCCCCCGAAGAGATGCAGGGTGCCGTGCGCGACACCTTCCAGTACCTGGTCCAGCTGGCTGGCCTGTGCTTCCAGTTCACGGACTGCAGCCGCTGCTCCGCCCGGCACAGGGAGGCAGCCGGGAACCTCAGGGACGTGGTGTACACCTACCACCAGTTTGTGGAGGCCGCCAAGCTGACCTGCGAGAGAGGCTACCACGACCTGAGTGTGAAACTCTTGGCCCATCAGTGCACGGCCCTCACGGCTGCCGTGTTCTGTTTGACCCAGAAGTTCCGGGCATCCACTGCCCTGTGAGCAGGCTGGCTGCCCAGACCCCCGGCCCTGCCCTGGATGCTTCCCGGGAAGCCTCTTCCGTCCCTCCACCCGCCCTCTCAGATGTTTACTATTTAGAGTATTTAAATAAACTGCTGCTTAATCTTGGTCTGAGTCAGACAGAATGATCATAAGTTTGGGTCCAAACATTCACTCCGGTCCATTCAACATACATTTACTGAATACCTCCTCTGGGCCAGGCCGTATGCGAGGAGCTCAGGATAATTATAGACAAATAAGACAAGACCCTCCCAGGTCAGGATGCTCACAGACCTTGTGGGATACAGATAAGTAGATTACCATCAGTAACGTGTGTCCTAAAAGGAGCATTTCCTGGGGTGTGGAACCAAGAAGTCACAAACTGTTCCAAGAAGCAGGGGTGAGGAAGGAAGCTGGGGCTCACCAAAAAACAAAGTTTTCTTATGCCACACTATTTGGCAGTAACTTTCACAAACAGGATTGAATGCATGTGGTATCTGATAGATTCCATCTTCACGAGCACCTGCACCAGGAGCCCTGGTGATCTTGGCGGCCTCGCTGTGATAAGCCTAGACTGCCACTAGGTGGCAGTAAGTCCCTTAGCTGTGTCGCTACACTCTTCGGGTGTGCTCCGTGCTTTATCTGAAATTGACTGCACCCCTAAATCTTGCGTCCTATTTTTGTTTTAAATAGTTAAATGGCGAACATGAAAGCCCTGAACTAGGTTTGCCTTTTTGAGAATAATATTAGCACAAAATATATTTAGTACCTTTCTCACCAATCCCAGCTGAGCCCCTTAATCCCAGTTAATCTTGGGGGGACCTTGGACAAGCTATTTCACCTCTCATTGCTCTGGTTTTCCCTTCTGTAAAATGGGGACACGAATAGTGCCTGCTCTGTAGGGTAGACACCTAGTAAATAATCTAGGAAATACTCAGGAAGTAATGAACGCCCAGCTTTGTGGCTGCTCCTCCTGGTCTGAAATCCTGCCCTGCGTTTGTTTTCTGACTCCAGGAAAACTGATTTCCAGCTACCTTGGGAGCTGTTTGCCCCTGGCTTCTCTGTCCAGGCCAAAGGGGGTGTAGACACTCACCTTGGACGGCTAGAGTTCATCCGAGGGGTCCCTTTGCCCCTCTGGTGCTCCTGGTCAGTTGTGAGCTCAGTGCTGCCTCTGTGGGTCCTCTCCTCTAGGACTCCCCAATTCCTCTTCTTCTTCACCCAGCAAGAGCAGGAGCAGATTTGTAGGTGTTTAGTCCCCCACCCACGTGCTTTCCAATCAGAAGGAAAGCAATGCCTTGGGAGAAGAGGAAAAACATCCTTCCCACCCCCTGTTACCAGTTACTTGTTAACTAGTAAACAGTTAACCAGTACTTGTGCCAGGAAAATATCTTCTTTTCTTAGAGGCCTGTTTCTTTTCACAGAATACTTGGAATTAAATTTAAATGAGGCTCTTGAACACAGATTTGAAGTAATTTCATGGCCATGAAAAACAATAGGACACCGAAATAATAAACATGGTATGATGTTAAGAAGGACCTAAATGCTTTTACCAGCAGAAAGCTATAAAGAGCTACATAACTTGTTTATGTGAGCACCATCTATATGCTTGCAAGTTTAGAGAAGGCGCTCAGGACTTCAACTCAATCAGGGCTTGAATCCTGGCAGTGTTATTACAGGCACTTGTTTGAATCTCAGTCTCCCCACTGACAAAAGGAAATACTAGTCTCCATTTAGTGAGGGTCCACAATGTGCAAGATGCCCTGAAAACACTTTCTTATCCACACAACACCCTAAAGTAGACATCCTATATAATGAAAGCCTAATATGCAAATGGACTGAATGACAGAACGACTGGTCGCTATGACACGCACTGACCACCAGGGGGCAGATGCTCAACACGGGAGCTGCCCAAGGTGGGTGCCAGTGTCCCCTCCCCGCAATTCGCCCCGCCAGTCGTCCCACAGATTGGCCCTGATCGCCAGCCAGGCCTAGGGACCCTACCCGTTCACAAATTTTGTGCACCAGGCCTCTAGTTGTTATATATATAATATACATTCAGTATTACTATGGGAAATAATTCATAGGAAGAAGATTGAAGCCTCCAGCACAAGCACTCAAATAATGGTTTCCTTCTTTCTTTGCTTCCTCTCCCCTCAAATCCATGAACTCCCTTGGGTTGCTACAGTATGGAGCTGGCATTTTGCTCTGCAATTTCCATGAGGAGTAGTAAGTCCCAGAAGTTCTGAGAAACCCCCCATTGCTTGTTGAGATGCTAAAGTACGGGGAGGTACCCTGATTAGCACTTCCTTTGAAATACACAACTCCTACATGAGATAAGCAGAGTGGGACTGCCTACTCCACAATGTAATAGTTGTTTAATGACTAAGAAACTACTGGACATTTACATTTCTCCTTTCTTTTCCCACCCATAATCGGCTGATTCATTTCTTTCAAAAAACATTTATGGCACACCCATGCCAGGTAATACCTAATGCAGGATTAGGGATGTAAATAATTGGGGGAGATCCTGTTTTCAAGTATTCTTGGTCCAAGAGATAAAAGGACATATAGAAATAGAGACCTACAACATAAGGCATGTAATGCTCAGGGCAACCAAAGAGAACAGATAAAGTGTATGCGAGCTTAAAGGAGAGAAGTCATTGTTGGGTGGGAGCAAAATAGTGATCAGGGAAAGTTTCCTGTAGGAGGCAGCATTAATTAGAACTGGTTTGTCAGGACACATTTTTGAGTAGCTATTGTGTGCCATGCCCTGGATTTGATAGATAGGAAGAAACTTTTGGATGTGTCAAGAAAAGAGAAAAATCACTCAGTTGTTTATTCTGTCAACAAATATTTACTGTGTAGTGGCACTGGGAATACAATCATCGACAGGATATAGTCCCCTCAAGGAACTTATAATAAAGACACAGAAGAAAAAGATGACTGACTGGTAGGTGGTATAAAGAAAATGAAGAGAATGCCAAGATGGGGTAGGATGAGCCAATCTTACCTAGAGTGATCAGTCAAGGCCCTCTGAAGAAAGAATGTTTAAGCTGAAGCTTAAAGGATAAGAAGGAGCCAGCCATGGAGAAAGTGAGAGAAAAGGGAACAGTATCTCCAAAGGTCTTTGGTGTGTTTGAAGCATTTCAAGAAGACAGGTATGCCCGGCCAGTGTGGCGCAGTGGTTGAGCATCGACCTATAAACCAGGAGATCCCGGTTCAATTCCCAGTCAGGGCCATGCCCGGATTGCGGCAGCTCGATCCCCAATAGGAGGCGTGCAGGAGGTAGCCAATCAATGATTCTCTCTCATCATTGATGTTTCTATCTCTTCCTCTCCCTTCTTCTCTGAAATCAATTAAAAAAGATAGGAGAAGAAGAAGAAGAAGAAGAAGAAGAAGAAGAAGAAGAAGAAGAAGAAGAAGAAGAAGACGACATGTATGACTGGAACACATCAAGCTGGAGTAAGAGTGACAGATGAGGTTGGAGGGGCAGCCAGGAACCAGGCTGTGCAAGGCCTTGGGAAGGTCAGATTTTACATCGAAGTATGATAGAAAGCCACTGAGAGTTCTGCACATGGATGGCTGGGGGAGCAGGCAGTGAAACCAGCTAGGAGGCCTTTGCTGTGGGGAAGTAGCCACGAGCTCATTTGAAAGTAAAGAAACACAAGAGCAGTGGCAGAGAGGGGCAAAGGGTATTCAGTATGGCTGAGTGCGAGGCGTAGATGTGGTGGGAGGCACTGAAGACCATTTGAGCCACTTTGCAAGCCCTGCTAAGTGGGAAGCTAGGTCCAGCTTCTAGGTAGAGAAGAGACATTAGAGTTAGGTTTTAGAAAAAGCCTTTTTGCGGGGAGGGAGGGATGTTTAGTCAGCATTTAAAAATTGCTCCAGTCCCAGATAAAGGCTGAATTGGAGCATGGCTTGGGGATGGGGTGAGAGTGCTGAGGAAATAAAAGTCTAGAGCGGTAACAGTGGGGGGCCAAGAAGGAATCCAAACAAGGCTGTGATTTCTTGGGTGGGAGACATTTCAAGCTCATTCATGGTAGGGTCTCTCTGAAAGGGTGAGACCCCTAGGACTGGAGGAATAAAGAAAAGAATGGCTGATAGCTTTTATCAGGACAAGGGTTGGGCAAGTCACTTGAGATCTCTGAGCCTCAGTTTCCCCACTGACTCCTTATTTGCTCAGGCCCGGATATCTCTCTTGTGAGCCTGGACAGACAGGCACAGGTGAAGGGGAATGTGTGCTCAGGGAAGGGCTGTGTCAGCTCCTGGGCCTTGCTGGTTGTGGGGAAGCTCAGGGACGGGCAAAGCCCCTAGGCTGGCGAGATGAGAGGTGGTTTAAGTCTGGTTTCAGCCCAGTTTCACAATGTCCAGTCTTTGACAGCCATTAAAGCGCCTGATCACCTGCAGCAGCCCTGTCGGACTGCAAGCAGCTGGGATTGTAATCCTGTATATCAGTCGGGGAAACAGGCTCAGAGAGGCGCGACCGAGCTCTTTAGTGTCTGGGTGAGGATAGGAAGCCCAAAGCTCACGCCCCTGAACACGGAGCTGCCAGGCCGAAAACTACAACTCCCAGAATGCCGTTCGGAAAGGGGCAGGGACCGGAAGTGGGCCAGGAGGCGGGGCCTGGCGTGCCCTGCCGCTGCGTGAGGTGCTGGGATCAGGTACGCCCGGGCAGGTAGGGCCTGGGGTTCTGGGGGCCTGGGGGTCTGGCCCCTGAGTGCTGCCGCGTTTGCGGACAGGGAAGACGCCGGGGAAACAGCGTTTAACAGGTGTGTGGCCTGGTGTCCCGCACCTTGGTGCCTTCCCTTCCTGCCTCCCCTCGCGCTCGCAGCCTATGGGCCAGGCGGGGTACCTTTGGGCCTGGGGTCTAGGTGTTCTGTCGCTGAAGATGCCAGAGGCGGGGAGCAGCTTCCGTGGACTAAAATTTAGATTGAGAAAATGAGAGGAGCATGCCAGCAGAGGTTGGTCCTTCACTAAGTGCCCAGGGATATGCTCATCAGCTGGGACTTGAGTTAGAAAACCCAGAGATGAGGATGGGTGGGGGTGGGTGGTCGGGGTGGAGAGGGGGCAGGCCATGCTTCACACAGGGAAGCTGGCTATTGAGAAAGTGGATGCATTAATTCAGCTAGCGAGTATTCATTGAGCATCTACTATGTACCAAGCCCCTTTCTAGGCATAAGGATACAATAGTGAACAAAGCAAACAGGACGCTTGGTTACGTTGTAAGAATGGGGACGCTCCCACAAAAACTAAGTAAAATATATGCCACGTTGGATAGTGACAATCTGAATGAAGTGAGAAATGTAGTTACATAATTACCTCGACTAGAGGAAGAATATTGGAGGTAGAGAGAACAGCAAGGGCAAAGGCCCTGGGGTGAGCGTATCCTTGGTATGTTTGAGGATGGGCAAGTAGATCTGAGGGGACAGTAGACGGGGGAGGCAGACCTTAATGATCAGTACAGGCCATTGTAAAGATTTTGGCTGTTTACCGTAAGTGAAATGGAGATCTAGAGTGGTTCTGAGCAGAAGAGTGATGATTATCAATCCCATAGGATGCTTTTATTTTGCAAGGCTCCGTCTTGAGTGCTGGGAGTGTGCCCGTGATTTCTTCATCCTCTCTTCTCCGCAAGTGTTTGTAATCTGGTGGGGAAACAGGCAGACCAGCTGTCATACAAGGCTGAGTCAGGTCATTGCAGCCCCACGAAGACAGAGTGAGTATCAACCCCGAATCCTCAGCAAGTGCTATGAAGTCAAGTGCTTAACTATTTGTTAAATGAGTAATTAACTGAGTAACCTCAGTACCCAGCACTGGATCCGTAATGAGGCTCAGAAAACTTTTTTTTTTTTTAATGAAGAAATGAAATGTTAAATGTGGGCATAATGTCTCACATGCTTCCATGATGCCCTAAGGATCACTAGGTGGTAAGCTTCGACTCACTATTCACTGAGCTTCCGTTCTGCGCCAAGCTTGTGATAGCTAGTGAAGATACAAAGATGAACAAGATGTGGTCCCTGTCCTCAGGAATGCCCAACCTGCTGTGTTACAGACTCTTCTGGTAGCGGTTGGAGTTGCCTTCATTTGATTTTCAAGATCACTGTCTCCCACGTTCCTGGTCTGAAAAGCATTCCCAGGGACTATAGGAATTCAGAGAGGTCAGAGATACAAAGAGTGGGATAGGAAAGAAGGAAATGGAGGCAAGGGTAGTAAAACTCTGTTTATTCAGCGAGTATTTATTATAACACTGCTGTTCAAAGATCTTTTGAACTGTTCAGTGTTTAGGTAGATGTAGTTACATATTCCTTCTGAAAAAGAATTCAGTTTGGTAGGAGAAAAAAGATGAGCATTAACCTTCCAATTTTTAAAACAGCAATGGAAAACTGCAGCCCCTCCCGCTACTTCACCCCATCTCTCTTTTCTCCTCAGACAGACTTCTCCAGTGAGGACATTCATTGCCTCCCAGTCATTCCCCAAAAGGTCCTGACACAGAGGAGGAGCTCAATGAATATTGATTTATTTATTTTAAATTTTTACCATCCCTTTACTCTCATCCTGTGTGAGTCTTTTGTTCTGAGGTGGGTCTCTTTTAAATATATTTTTGTTGATTTAGGAGAGGAAGGGGGAGGAAGATTGAGCCCGCAAGCTGGGTATGTGCTCTTGACCAGAATCGAACCCGGGATCCTTCAGTCCGCAGGCTGATGCTCTATCTACTGAGCCAAACCAGCTAGGGCCAATGAATATTTACTGACTAAATGAATGGACAAACACAGATAAGAATGCAAAATACTGTGGAGTTCAGAGGAGGAAGAGATCACATGGCTGTTAACAAACTAGCATTCATTTAACAAATTTGTTTTCAGGTTGTTAGGTGTTGGACCAGTTTATTTTAAAGTTTTCGTTTGTTCTTTTTTGAATGCCTAAGTGCAGAAAAATGCAGATGACACTGATGGTTGGCATACAAAGTTTGTTCAGTCATCTGGAGGGAGCTAGGTATCTTTTATTTTTATTTTTTTTTTTTGTTTTTTGTTTTTTTTGTAGCTAGGTATCTTTTAAAAAAAATTTTTTTTAATTGATTTCAGAGAGGAAGTGAGAGGGAGAGATAGAAACATCAATGATGAGAGAGAATCATTGATTGGCTTCCTCCTGCACACCCCCTACTGGGGATCTAGTCCACAACCCTAGCATGTGCCCTTGACCAGAATCGAACCCAGGACCCTTCAGTCTGCAGGCCAACACTCTATCCACTGAGCCAAACCAGCTAGGGCTGGATATCTTTTGTTAAAAAAGATATTTATAACTAACATCACTATTCCTATGTGAACAGTGCAGTGCTTCTGAAATGTTTAAGAATAATTTGGTATTTTCCTAATTTCTCTAGATTATTATGTACACTATTACATTTTTTGTGTGCCATAAACTCATAGTGACACAGTCAATGGTATATATACATATACTAAACTGTGTACTGACTATTAAAGAACAGAGTTGTTTTTTTTTAAACTTTTTTTTTTATATATATATTTTTTAATTGATTTTTTTATAGAGAGGAAAGCAGAGAGATAGAGAGTCAGAAATATCGATGAGAGAGAAACATCGACCAGCTGCCTCCTGCACATCTCCTACTGGGGATGTGCCCGCAACCTAGGTACATGCCCTTGACCGGAATCGAACCCGGGACCTTTCAGTCCGCAGGCCGACGCTCTATTCACTGAGCCAAACCGGTTTCGGCAAAGAACAGAGTTTTAAGCAAAAGTAAACTCTAGCCTAGGCAGGAAAATGAACATAAGTTTCAAATCTTAAAAATCTCTCTACTGTAAATAAATTATGGCTCAAAAAATTTAAAGATTAAGCTAACTAACAGAAACAAAAAATAAAATGGGGTTAATTTTGTTTTTAAATCCTCACCCAAGGATATGTTTCTATTGACTTCAGAGAGAGAGGAAGGGAGAGGGAGAGAGACAGACACAGCTATCGGTTACCTCCCGTATGTGCCCCAACTGGGGATCAAACTCGCAACCTGGGTATGTGCCCTGACCAGGAATTGAACCCAAACCCTTTGGTGCAAAGGACAATGCTCCAACAAACAGCCACATTGGCCAGGGCAAAAGGGGTTAATTTCAGTATTTGAATTCTAGTGTTTCATAGGGAATTGATAAAATTCAGAGTTGATGAATCAAGAAGTAATGGTGTAAGCATGTGATTTCAGGTTAAGGGGCTAATCACCGGAACTAAAAATGCCTGGTTAACAAGAGTTGCCTCTAGAGGTGGAAAGGGTCAGAATGAGGATCATGACTTTTATCATAAAAATCTTTTTACCATGTGGATCATATTACATAGATTTACTTGTTCAAAGGTAACACTTTTTCTAAGGTGGTGGTAGCACATGGACTCAGGAGCTGCCACGAGCAAGGGTCATACCATTCTTTGTGACACCTGTAGACTAGAGCATTTTTTACTCATCTTAGGGATAGTGAATACCACTTTGAAACTGACATTCATTAGGAGTGCTATTAGAGTGGTTCTCTATATTTTTCTGCCTTAGCACTTCTGAGGGATATTAAACATTCTCACTGGTGACTGTGGCTTTCTGCTGCAATGATACTGAACTGAGATGGGGGAATGAATATGTAATTTGGAAAAACAAATTTTGATAGATCACCAGCAGCAACCTAGATGGATCCTTGGTTGGTTTGGGGCCACTCTTTGCCATATTTTTTGGCTCACTCTTCATCCTCCAAGGATGTCCAGGACTTTGCATATAGTAGGTACTCAATAAATACTTGCTTTTCATCATAAAGGAATGGTTTTGCAAATAAACTGAAACAGAGGGGAGGTGGCTTTTGCCATCTCTGTCCCACCCTCAACTCATGAGTGAATTTCAAAGAACACAATAAATAACTTGGTTTTCTGTGTCACCGCAGCAGTGAGTCACCGATTGCTGGGAGGTGTCAGGATTGTGCTTGTGTTCTGAGAAGTGGATTTGGCTCCCTTACTACTGAAGCGTTTCGGTGCTGACTCATTTCTCTGGGAGGCACACGTACTTTTCAATAAACCCATGTTAATATTTTACGCACTTCTCCTTCAGTAACACAATAACGCTGTCCGTCCCTTGGATGTAGGGGAATACCTCTGTAAGTGCAATAATGTAATGTCTCACATAATTGTGCCTTTTCCAATCTGGGTGAAAGGACAGAGGGCTAAGCACATGGTCGGGAAATCGGAAGGGAGTGCTCAGAAAACAGAGTCACACGTGCTGCAGGAGCAGGAAGTCATCCCAGAGGACACAGGCGAAGATGGCATCTCTGAAAGCTTCCAGCTTCTACAGATGGATGTGGAATGTGAGCCTCAGGAGAGGGAGACCCTGCCCACGGACAGTGCCACCTGGTGCTCGGTGAGTGCAGTGGGTGGCCATGGGCTGTGAGATGATGGAATGTCCCAGAGACCCCTATTCTATGGGTAGACACTGGTAACAAGAAGACTGGGAGTGAGTTTGGTGTATCCCAAGGGTTGAATTCCCTGCTAACCGGTTTAAGGCTTCAGATCAAGAGGTATGTTTGATACACCTCAGAAGGGTCAGAACATCCAGACTCTTCTTTGGGCCTGACAGGTCACATGTCTTTCTGGGGCTCTGCTTTCTCTAAACACAATCTAGTCCATCTCTGTTGTTAAATCTACCATCCTTTTTCTCTCCTAACTTTATATCTAAATTAAAAAAATAAGTAACTCTTTCTAATATTCATTTTCCTTTTTGGTGCTTATGAAGTTTCAAACAATTT